CCACTCTTCCCACCCTGTCCTTTCCAGATCGTCCCTTTCTGTGGGCACATCAAAGGAGGAATGAGGCCGGGAAAGAAGATTTTAGTTATGGGCATAGTGGATCTCAACCCCGAGAGGTAACAGCCGGGCAGGGCTGCCCGCCCCGGGGGTGCTGGGCGAGGAGGGGAGGGGAGGGGAGGCCACACACATACACACAGACAGACAGACAGACCGACACACAGGGACAGACAGATCCCTCCTTGCTGGAAAGGGATTATTTTTATCATTTTAAATATAGCGTGCTGATTTCTCCTTTGACCCGTAGAGGGGGCATTTCTTTCAGAGATCCTGGTTCCCAACATTTCACTTGGGAGTAAAGGAGCATATAGAGCATATATATATTCACATATATGTGTAACACACACGCACACATATATATATATATATATGTACATATATATGCTGTGACTGTGTTCTTGTCCCTGCTGAGCTTTCAGAGCATTCCCTGAACAAGCTGAGCAGTCTGGGTTTGGGGACTAGCAGTCCCTCATGTTGCTATACAGAATCACAGAATGTCAGGGATTGGAAGGGACCTCAAAAGATCATCCAGTCCAATCCCCCTGCCAGAGCAGGAACCTAAATGAGATCACACAGGAAGGCGTCCAGGCGGGTCTTGAATGTCTCCAGAGAAGGAGACTCCACCCCCTCCCTGGGCAGCCTGTCCCAGGGCTCTGTCACCCTCACTGTAAAGAAGTTTCTTCTCAAGTTTAAGCAGAACCTCCTGTGTTCCAGCTCACACCCATTGCCCCTTGTCCTACCATTGGGCATCACTGAGAAGAGCCTGGCTCCATCCTCATGACATTCACCCTTAACATATTTATAAACATTAATTATTAAACAGTCAGTGGCTTTAATAAACTGAGAAATGAGACCAGCGACATTTCATAGAATCATTAAGGTTGGAGAAGACCTCTAAGCTCATCAATTTGGGATTTATTTGGTTGTTTCTGGCTGAATGAGAACCATTCTGTTTGCCTTGCAGCTTTGGCATCAGCCTGACTTGCGGGGAGTCGGAAGATCCTCCTGCAGATGTGGCTATAGAACTGAAAGCCGTGTTTACAGACAGACAGTTTGTCAGAAACTCTTGTGTCGGCGGAGAATGGGGGGAAGAGCAATCGTCGATTCCTTACTTTCCCTTTATACCGGATCAGCCTTTTAGGGTGAGTACCGGGATGACAGCCATACCCGATAAAGCGTCACGCGATCAGAGTCGCAGCAGAACGCGACTTGCCTCTCGTGAAATCACAGCGTAGCCCGCGCTTCTCCGGTGGAGACGCCGGTTGCCGGATTGTTTGTTATCGATCAGAAGTCGCGTGGAGATGCCGCCGCCGCCGCTGCGTGTTAACTGTGGGCAGTTCAGACGGGGCTGTGAACACCTCACTGGGGTGCTATGACAAGTCAGAGGTTGTAATATTGTGGGATGAAGCACACTTCCTGAGCTTAGTTTTATAGCTATAAATTAAAAAGTACCTCTATGTTATTAGGGCATTACAAGTTATTACTGGAGAATGTAAATACTCTGTGGGGCTGCCGTATGTTTTGATGGTTTTGTTAATAGACGTAGTGTTTGCAATTTAGTGCAGCTAATAAGGATCTTGTTCATCCTTTGTCTCCAGGGATGTTACGCTGAGGTTGACCGTAGCCCTTGGTGTTAGCAGATTACACAGCTAAGCAATAGTGATATTCTTTTCTGAACCCTGGGATTAAATCTCCTGTCAAATTTAAGGCTGTAGTTGCTTGAAAATGGTGTACGTGGAAATGCTGCGGTGCAAGGGGTGGACTGGATTGACCTAGAAGCAGATTCCCATCTGTAGTGTTTATGGTTAGGTGAAGACGTCTTTGCACATCAGGACTAAGTGTGCAGCTGCAGAAGGCTGCGTCCCTCTCAGCGGCTTCACTACGTGGAGGAAAAAAGGCTGCATGCTTTCTCCATGTGGCTGACCCAGAAAAACCCTCCTCCTCCTCCTCCTTCTCCTCCTCCTCCTTCTCCCCACTCCTCTTCTGAAACCTCGCTGGCCCCTCTGCTAAATGCCAGTGCTCCGACTGGCTGCCAAATTCTCTTCATCCTTCTTGCTCCTACGATCATCTCCCCCAACCCTAAAAGCTCACCGTCCTCACAGATGCTTGGGCTTTGAGAGGGTCTTTATAACTGGTTTTGCCGCAAATTGTTTGTGCTCTACTTGCTTCTACAAACTCTCCCATCAGAGCTGGCAACACCCTTTGGTGCGTGTGGGAAATGCACTTGAAAGGGCTCGGAGGCTTGGTCCTGCTCTGCTTGAGAATGTTCTACTACTTGCTGCAGTGGGTGGTGGCTGGGCCCTCAGACAAGCCAGACAGATCAGCCAGAGCATGTTCTGTGGGTGTCCCACTAACGACAGTTGACGTCGGAGGACAGCAATATTGCACGTTTGGTATAAGATACTGTAGACAGGGAGTTGTTGTTCTGTTTCTTCTTCTTTTTTCCCCTCTCTTTTCCCCCCCCCAAATCCACAAATTGAACTTGTACCTTTGATGGTCTCCCTCACCGTGAATACATTAGACTATTAAACATTCTTGCCAATTACTTGTGATCTAGTCCAATTATCGTCCTGGCGTGGCCCAGGGTGATCTGTAAAACTGGCTGGTAAGCAGTGTTGAGGCTAACCATATCTTTTACATAACAAGGCCTAAGGCTGGATGCACCTGCCGCAGTGACACGGGAGCTCCACGGCTTCTCTCTTCCATGCTGCCCTACCAGGTCCCCAGGAGCTTAAACTCTCCCGGGCTGTCTGCTGTCATTCTCCCCCTGCAACGTGCCCTAAGTCAGTCGGGCTTTGGCTCGCTCAGTTGTCGCTGGCCCCGTTCCCATTTTGATTCGCTGTAATAGCAGCAGAGGCAAGTGCCTGGAAGCAGTGCTTCACTCCAGACTGCCAGCCTATTCCAAATGACCTGGGATTTACACGTGGCTTCCTTGCAGATTTTCTTCTTAGCCTGTCCAGACCTGGAGGTCTCGGAGGGCTTGTAGCACATTCTGTTCCCTTTGTATCCCTGCTTCCTGCCAGGGCAGCTCCAGCGAAGATTAACTACAGGGCACCCTCTCAAGCCACCCCTAACATCAGAAAGCTCCTGACCTGTCCAAGCCTGTTCAGCTCCAGCTGCTGTTCCAGAGCGTTTCTGTAGGGCTGTAAGAGGAGGGATGAGCTGTGTCCCTCTCTGATCCTGTTTGTGCCTCATGCACACTGTCCAACCGAGTTCAAGCCATCCTGCACCACGTTTCCCCCACTGCAGCCCCAGGATGGGGTCTGGTCCAACAGGGAGTCCTGGGCTGTCTGCAGCCACTGTAGTGAAGGCTTTTTAGTTTTGCAGCAGCTCTGTGAGCATGTGTGGGAGGGAAGGGCAAACCTATCCCTCCTCTTGTGTTTGCTCCCTTCCAGTAAATTAATGGAAGTGCAGAAAGCATTGCAGAGGGAACTGCCCCCTCGTTCTGCTGGGAAAAAAAAGAAATCTGTAGCCAGGCATGCAAGATTTGTGTTGGAGATACCATTTCTTCCTGTTGTAATTAGCAGCTGGAGCCTGTTTCTGGCATTATTCCAAGAGGCAAAACCTCCCTGATGCCAGTGGGACTGTGTTCCACAGTCCTTCCCACCACGACAGCGTGAGATTGGATTTGCATCCCCGGGAAGTTAAGAGCAGATCCATCATAGTGCAACTGGTGTCATGGGAGCAAAGTGGTCTCGGCCCTGGTTGTTATGTGGCACTTGAGTAGCAAAACATGTAACCACCACACCAACAGTGCTTAAAGGCTGAGGGTGTGCTCTTTGTGAAACAACTTCCCAGTTACACCGTGAACAACGTGCTGCTTCATCCTTTTATTTTTACAGGTTGAGATACTTTGTGAGCATCCCCGTTTTAGAATATTTGTGGATGGACATCAGCTCTTTGATTTTTACCACCGTATTGAAACACTGTCGGCAATTGACACGATAAAGATAAATGGAGATCTTCAGCTTACAAAACTTGGCTGAGCTTGTTAGGACTGCAGATTCCAAACCGGCTCAGGTGCCATCATCCGTTTGGAGAAGTGACAGCCGGGCTCTGGACACAGCTATGATAGGAAAGCGGCCCCGTTCCTTTTCCGCATGCAGTTCTTCACTCCTGTGCCGATGAACCGCGCTGTTGTTTATCCTAATGAAGAACAATTGTTGGTTAATAGACATTGAGCCGTTTGTTTTTTTTTTCTTGGATCAAAATAAGCCCACCTGTGCTGGATAATCAAATTGGAATGGATTCAGAAAAGACTTGCAGTCTTGTTTCAGATCTGACAGAAAGGCAATTTCTGAAACGCGGCGCTAGAACCGGTTAGTGAACAGCAGTGACAACAACAACAACAACAACAACAACAACAAGGTTTTTCTTTTGCAAATATCGTTTCTGCACTGAAGTGGAATAGTGTAGCACAACAAAGAGCCACGTGCTGACGTCCCTACCCGGGGCTTGAGCCTGGTTCCGTGGAAATCAACGGCAAAACTCCCACTCACTCACTTTAACGGGGTACAATCAAACTGTCTAGTCCTTAGTCAAGCACAATTCCCACTGGTTTCTATGGGATTTTTTTGCACACGCCTGGGGGCCCAGCTCTTCTGCTGGTGTAAATCAGCATCACCTCTGTGGCTTGCGAGGGAACTTTGCGGGTTGCTCCCAGCCGTTGATTTGGCCCAAGGACTGTGCAAAAACTGAACGAGGGTGTGAGGACACAGCCTGTATATGTTAGTCAGGGTATTTGCATAGAATGTAGATCGTTACGAGTTTTTTGCACAATGTATTGTTAATACAATTTTTAAAGCTTATCTGTAGTTTATTTATTTATACTCATTGTATGTATTACTAGTTAAAAATGAACAATCTTACTGATGGTTAAGAAGAAAGTGTAAACATTTTGAATGTACAAAATGTCTTTAGGTTCTTTGGGTAAACTTTACATATCATTCTGGGGAAAAAATCATGTTTCCTATCCAACATTTAGTTCCGTTTTCACGGAGCCCTCTCGGCCCTGGGAAAAGGTGGGCATGGTAGTTGGTGAGGGTGGGGGGAACTCTTGGCATATTCACTAGAAACTGGTTTTCAGGGCTTACTAACTTTGCTGCACAGGATAGGTTTGAGTTAAAGTCGATGGGTTTTAAAAACTTAATACAGCAAATCTGTAGGTTTAACTGTGCTTTTATAACCTGAGAAAAAAAAACAAGTTCAATTTGGCAGTCTCTTAGTTCCGAAAGAGAACCAGCCTCTTTCCGGGGAGATTTTTGCACTTGTTTGAGAACATATTTGGCCTTTGATATGACAATTAAAACTTGTCTAGACAGCCAAGTTATTAATGCTTGAAAATCAGCTACTGCACATGAATAATAACTTTTCGAGTAGCTTTTTAAATAGTAGGTATATAGCTGTATAAACACAGTCATTGCGCGACACTAGAAACCAACACAGCCACTTTTCTTGGACTTCTTTAGGACTAAGTACACTTTTTTCCTTGGCTGCTCACAATAAACTGCAGCAGGTCTTTCACAGTAGTTATAATCACGATAGAAACATATATTTAGGCAATTTTGAAAACATGTAATATAGGGACTTCCTAAGACACAGAATACAAAACCACCCTTTACAGCACAGTATTTTAAAAAAAGAGAGAGAGAGAGAGAGAGAAGAATCTCACAAACAAAACTATGTGAAACCTGCAATAAAGCTGTGGTTTAAAGCAACCAGAACTGGAATATCCAAAGGTAATAAGGGTAGAACGCCAGTTGCAATGCCTCATTTTGTGCTAATTTGGCCTGCAGTTAAGCAGCCTTAGACTGCAAGCTGAAATTCCAAATGTGGCTTTAGTCCAAAGCCTGTTGAGGTCAATCAGAGTCCTCTGAGCACAGAAGCCTGATTCTTATTTCATGCAAGTGCAAATCTCTCTCTAAAGCCAGGGGGGTGTTGCTGCTGCTGCAGGTGAGTTAAGAATCAAGCTGCCACCTATAAAATACAAGTTAAAAATGGAATTTTTAGCCTTAACATTGACATTCCCTGACTTTTCCTCTTTTTTTCCAAATTAAGAGCAAACCTGTTATTTTCCAGATGATCTTTTTTTTTTTTATCTGGTGTGTGGCTTTAAGTTGTGCATCAGATTCTATTTGTACTCCAGATTGAATCTTGATATGAAACGTTCCTGTCTTGCTCTGTTTTTACTCTTTTACATGATACGTGATGACTGTGTCATTTTCCATTGTATAAAGAATGCTGACAGTGTTTCGGTACAAAATATATTCTTAAAAATTATGATGATGATGATGATAATAAAAATCCAAGGGAAAGGTGCTTCTACATGAGGTGTTTGGATTTTTTTTCCAGCTGCGAAATGCTCTGTGGTTCCAAAGCAGATGCAGGAAGAAGATGAATTCTGTTTGGAGAGATATTTAGCAGCCTCCCTGCCTAGTGCTTCCTCCAACTAGACATGTAAAGCCGGGTTTGCTGATGCAGTGCTGTTGCCTCAGGCTGTCCTGCCAGTCCAGTGGGCTGTAAGGAGGAGGCTGGAGAGAGTTAAGTAGCACCATGACCCTAGAGCAGCACAAAACCGAAAGGGATCTCCCTGACAGCACGACGCCAGTAGAGATTTCTCCTCTATGATTTTCTGGAGCCTAGAAAAAGCAATTTGAATTGACTTGAATTTTCAGCTGCTTGGGGTTGCTGGTAGGTTAGCACAGCCCTCAGACTTAGAATCATAGAATGGTTTGGATTGGAAGGGCCCTTAAAGCTCATCCAGTCCCAACCCCCCTGCCAGCAGCAGGGACACCTTCCACTAGACCAGGTTGCTCAAAGCCTCATCCAGCCTGGCCTTCAACACTTCCAGGGAGGAGCAGCCACAGCTTCTCTGGCCAACCTGGGCCAGTGTCTGACCACCCTCACAGTGAAGAACTTCTTCCTAATATCTAATCTAAACCTCCCCTCTTTCAGCTTAAACCCATTTCCCCTTGTTTTGTCATTAACTGCCCTTATGAAAAGTCCCTCCCCAGCTTCCTTGTAGCCCCTTCAGGTACTGGGAGGTGCTATAAGGTCGCCCCGGAGCCTTCTCTTCTCCAGGCTGAACAGCCCCAACTCTCTCAGCCTGTCCTCACAGCAGAGCTGCTCCAGCCCTTGGATCATCCTGGTGGCCTCCTCTGGACTTGTTCTAGCTGCTCGGCTATCCTGCACGGGCTCGGCACAGCACGGGGATGCTGAGATGAACCAGCGTATGGGTGATGCCACCTTGCCTCTGTCCCCACTCGCTGCACTGGGCACTCCTGTTTGTTTCTGCTCCAGCAGTTTTCAGTCTCAGGAAAATGCTTTTTTGAACCTGATTCTGGTTTTGCTTTTGCATAACTCCACCAACAGCGGCGCCCACCACCTGATTCTGCTCAGGCTTGGAGGCAAGAAGGGCTGTGAACCCATTTCTGATGAGTTGTGGTTTTGGCTGAGAGCTCAGGAAAGGGCAGAAAGTCACAGTTATGGCTTCCACATTTATTTGTCTGTCTAACACCAGTTTGCAAGCCTTTTTATTTTAATTTTGCTCTGGGGCAGTACCAGACCATGGCAGGCGAAGGAAGGATGATGTCTACGTACGCAAGGGCTGCTGCAGATGTGCTCGGTTTACGTGGGCTGACCGTGTTCAGACGCTGCTGCTGAATGCTGTGATGTGCAAAGTCAGACAAAACAGCAACCTCAAACTTTTCTCTTCAGTTGGACTTTGAGCCAAATCCAAATGTTTAAGATGGGAGACTGTGCTGCAAAATTTATACCTGAATTCTTTGGTCTCCACAATCTAGGGATTATTCAGATCTTCATTTTGGATATATACCCTACCAGACCTGAAATAAAACCGTTTCCAAATTAAGCAAGATTTTCAAAATGTGTTTTTTTCAGTAGGGTCAAGTAGTCTGTGAGCTTCTTAGAAGCTGCAATTCTTCAAGACTAAGTGAGTGTGTATTGAACCAACTTTTGAAATCCTACGCTAGAATTTGTTAGTTGAATATTTCCGTGGTTTCCTCAGAATGAGGAAATTCATTCTGAAATGAAAGAAGCCTTGAACTGGTAAAACCCATGTGTGGTGGAATCCCTCATCTTAGCATAGCTTTATTTTTTTTCCAAAGAGGAAAAATAAAACAAACAAACAAACACTGGAAAAGCATGACCAAATTATTTAGTTATGTTTGGAACTGGCTGTGATAAAGCTGATTTAATTTTTTAATATATTTTTTTTTAAAAAAGGAGGTTATTGCCTACTCAGAAAGAGCCTTGAAATACTTCAGTATCATGTGAGGTAGTCTGTGTCTAAACATATTCCACTTCAAGGCTTTTTCACAGCCAAGTTGTTAAAATGTTACAAAATACCTTCTTTTTGTGTCACAAGTAGAAACGTTTGCCCCACCTTGAAAGAACATTTTGTACTAAATATTCATATGTTGTCTATGTGAACTTGCACTAAGGTATATTATATTCTCCCCTCCCCTCCTTGACTAGCTGGAGAAGAAATAGGCGTAATACTGCTAAACCGGTTGAATGTGACATCTGCTTGAGGCACAGCATCTTTCTCAAGGGCTGTTTTGAGTAAACAGCCTGAAAACCAAAGGGAGAGCCTGATTCACCATTCTGCAGTGCCAGCTTTCCACCCCTGTCACTCTCCTGCTGTCAGACTGAAGCCCTGAGATTTTAATGTAAGGGAGCAGCGCAGAGATTTTTATCTTTTGAGATTTAAAACTATTGACTGTGAAGGAAATAAGGACAGAAGTAGCCACAGCGCTCTCAAGCTTGGCAGTAGGGTTGGGGTAGCATGAGGAACGTGAGTTCAGAGGGTGGTAGTGGGCATTTCAGAGCCAGCCAAGAGCACAAAGGCTGGGGAGCTGTGTGATAGTTTCCCAGGGATGGGCATTTGCCACGTTGTTAACTGCCACCTTCTGCAACCCCATACCACGACACACAGCAAAAAAAAAAGCATTGCTGACAAGTTTGGAAGGCATGAACAGGTTCATGTTCCTACTCGCCTTCTTTAAACAACAGGCTTCCAAATAAATAATGGGAAAATTTAGGAGTAGCCATGCCACTAAGGTATTGTTTTTCCCACAGACATTCAAGCAGTGGATCTGATGTGCGGCTCATCTTGGCTCCCATCCCCACAGCAATCTACAGCTTTCTGCACTGAGGCTGGTGACAGTCACCTTTCCACGCAGAAAACTGCAGAATTCTGCTGAGCCACTTCGTGGTGACTCTAAACAACCTCCCAGCACTCCTGGAATTGATGTGACAGTATGAGGAACAAGAGTCAGGCTGCGGGCAGCCCGAAATGCTCGCTGTGATAAGCACAGGAGTTAGGAAGAAAAGCTAGGCAGTTAAGAGACCTGGTGAGGTTTTTTTTTGTAATTGTGGGTATTGTTCTCATTTTCTCATGAGGATCAGGAAGTGTGCAGGTAAAAGTCACTTTACAATGACTGGTGTGTGTGGGGTTAGAACCGAGGCCAACCCAAACGGGGAGAAAAAAAATGAGCTGCAGACGCTTTTATCTGGCTTTGATCCACCCTCCCAGCTCCTCCCAGCAATCACTGCTGTTACGAACATAACACAATTACTACAACCAGGAGATTCAGCAGCATGTGAAGGATCAAAATAATAAACTCATGCTTTGCCACAGGTCCTCCCTAGCTTCTGTTGCTAGGCCTCTCCATCTGTCTGTCAACAAATAACTATATCCTGCTGCTTTTAAAATCCGTGGCAAAAATCCTTTTGACTTTCATGGAAATAGGTCTATAAGAAGAGGGGTATTTCTAGTTCTCCCTCTCCAGTTATTTTCAGCTGGGGCATACTCTAAAAATCCGTTCTTTCCTTTTCCTGAGTTTATTTTTAAGTGTGAATAGAGGACTATTTCTGTCTGCATTATCCATTTGAGGAGAGCCAACAGAAAACACAGCCACTCTCTGCTGCAGTAACACTGGTTTCACAGTTAGCTGATGAAATGTATTCGTTACCTTCTCCTTTTAGGGTGCACACACGAAATGACCAGGCAATAACAGTCATATGTATCATTCATTCACCACAGATCTATTTTTATGTGATATAAAAATAGATATTTATACTGTGCCAATTTCATAATGAAGTCTAATGACATTAAAACGTGAAATCTCCACTAGATTGTTCTGTCTTTTATCTGAATTATTAATGCTCATTACACACCTTCTTGACTTCTTTAACTTCTGGCTTCTTTTATCCTCTGTTTTTCAGATGTAGCTAACTCTCGCCCTCATAAAACTGCAGTGTGACATTTTAGAATGAGATCTGCAGCTTTGGTAGCAGCTTGTATAAAACTCCTTTCCAGTTAAAACACACCAGACAGAACAATCAAATAACTTCACTAGAGGAAAGAAGAGCTTGCTTACTCATGCAAGGCTGCTGCTGATGTCACTGGGCAGTGTGAGCCTCAGGAGTTGAGAGGCACGGCTCAGACCTTACGGCCAGGACATGAGACACCCATGGCCGAGCACTTTTGCATAGGATAAAACCAGCCTGTCAGCAGTGTCACTCACACACGCGCTCAAGTTCACTCTGGTGGGACTG